CCGGGAGGGCCCCCTCTAAACGCGGATTTAGAGCCCTCCCGCGGGCTCCCTACTCCAGTCCTCACCGACGCGCCCGGCGACTTTACCTCCCGACATCCGGCGTCTGCGTGGTTTCGCCCCGCGCCCCCAGGCAGGACGTGAGAAACGGGCAACGCGTCGCTACAGGGACTGCCCAGACTCGGGAGCGCCCCGGAGCCAGCCGACAATTTCCCTTCCTCGCCCGCCGCTTTGCGGGGAAGGGGCCGCCGGCGCTCCAGCTGTTTCGGGAGGAGCCACCACGCGGTGACCCAGGAGAAGCGTCCAGCAGCCCGGCCCCCACGAGCGATCGCGGCGGGGAGGGCGCTCTGCTCCGGGAGTGCCGCTGTCCAGGTCTTCCCCGGATAAGAAAGCGCTGGTTTCTTTGAAGAGATTGCGGAAAGAAGGCGCCCGATAGGACAGAAGATTCTGCGGGGGGTTATCAGGTTGTGAGATGGGACGTGCTGAGTGCTGAAGGCCAGAGCGGTCTGCAGGATGTGGTCAAAGAAGTCAAGATGGCGGCAGCAACGGTGCCATCGCCCTCTTGACTATTTTGACCATTCCCTGCTGAGGCTGGAGGAAGGAAATTGCTCGCTCTCCAAAGCTAAGCAGGGACAGGCAGAGTGAGGAGGGGGAGGAGCAGTGGAATCCAGGGGCAGCGAAAAGGTTTTTCCTGATAAAGCCAGGGGCAAACCACTTCTTTATGGCTCTGGGATGAATTACCGGATGTGAACCAGCTAAGCCCACTGGCTTGATGGTGATCCCGCCTTTGGTTCAGAAGCTCAAGGCATCGTACATTGCAGTCCCTTCTCCTACGGCATCCCCCCCACAACAACCCAGTGAGGTAGGCTGGGCTGAGAAAGAGGAGTGGCCCCCAGATCACCCAATGAGCTTCCCTGGCCGAAGGCGGGTAGAACTGGGGTCTCCCCCTCCCAGGCCAGCACCTGAACCGCTGCACCACCCTTGCTTGAGAGTGGTGGGGGTGCCTTTGGCCCCGTCTTGACTCCTGGCGACCGCCTGGACATGTCCCTGCAGTTTTCCTGGCGAGGTCCTTCAGAAGGGGTTCGCCCTTGCCTCCTTCGTAGGGGTGAGAGAGAGGGACTGGCCCAAGGCCACCCAACTGGTTTTGCGCCCAAGGCGGGACTAGAACTCATGGCCTGCCAGTTTCTAGCCTGGTGCCTTCACCGCTACCCCAAACTGCTTGAGAGAGCCACTTGCGAAACATGAATCTGCCTGGCTGCAAACTGTGTGCAGGGCTGGAGTGGTGCAGCTGTGGGATCCTCTCCCTATTTCCTTCCTCCTCTGAACGTCCCCCACCACCGCACCCCTGCTGGGCTTGGCCACACTGAAAGGCCCGGCCTGGAAAACTGGCCTGCTCAGGCTGATCATTGTTTGCAGGCGGTTGTATTTACTTCAGGGTGCCCAGATCTGGGCTGCAAATACTGAGACAACTTCTAGTTATTATTATTATTTATTATTATTTATTGGATTTCTACCCCGCCCATCTCCCCCACAATAGGAGACTCTGGGCGGCTCTAGTTGGCAGCCAAGAGATACAGAAAACTCTTTGAGGTCCTCCAGTGGCTGTCTGTGCGGTCGCAGGCAGATCTGAGAGCTGCCAATCACCTGAACGCCTCTTGCACCTTGGATCTCCCCTCACAATGGAGAAGTTTGACTAGACTTTCTACTGGAGCCACATAAATATGTCTGAAAATGGAAGGATCTTTCTGCTGCTTTTGAGGTGGCTGGGGGCTCGAGGTCAAGACAGCGGCCCCAACCCTGTAGGATAAGTGTGATCAAGATGGCCAGCGCAACAGGGAAAAACGTAGCGGGCCTGGGACTGCACGGTTGGGGCCGCCATCTTGACTTTTTTGATGCCCCCTGTAGACACCCCTGCCTGCGTGTTGGTTGAGGCCCCTCCCGCATGGCTGGTGTTGCACATTCTCACCAAGAAGGAGCCCTTTTCTACAGCTGCAGAAAAAAAGCAGCAGAGCGATTTCTGCTGCATTTCCTCCGCAGCCCAGTTGGGAAGCCCCGTGAGGCTCTGCGTGGACTCAGGAGGGCAGCCGTTGGCCAGGTCTCCCTCCTGCCTGCTCGCAGAAGTGGGGTAGCTTGCGAGTGAGCCCTGTGCGTCAGAGGTTTTGCTTAGCCCAAAGAGCAACGGGCAAGCTCCTCTGCTAGAGGAAGGGTTTTTAGGTTGCAGACAGCCCTGGAGGAACTGGGAATTCACAAAGCAAAGATGCAGGAGGAATAGGGTGAGAGAAAAAAGGCCAAACCCAGTGCTGCCTTACTCGGTTCTAACTCTGCCCTGAAATGGCTTAGATTTTTGAAAACTGCATTTCTAATAATGGAGGTAACGAAATTGATATTTTGACAATGGATCAAAAAAATGGCACCCGTTTCCTCCAAAGAAAACCTATTATATTTGCTGGGGCAGACTGGCAAGTAATGGGCACAGCTAGGCCTCTTGAAAATGAAAGGTCCTCTTCCAGAGGACAATTTTAGTCTTGCAATTTGAGAACAAATTGTATCCTGTAATGATGATGACAGGTGTAATAACTCAACTCTTATGAGAAATCTCTCCAAATGCTTTTGGAAATAAAAAAGTCTCTTAAAACGACAGTAGTTTGCCTGCTTCCAACACACTCGGCCCTGGTACATTTTCCCAATTTGAGCCTCTTCGGGAGAGGGGGGGGGGCGGTTGTCTTGCCGCTCTCCCACCAACTAGCTGACATCTGAGGAGGGTTGTTTCCATCTTTGAGCGCTTCTGCGTGAAGGCTTTGCCCCAGCTCCGAGCAGCCTGGACCGGTCTGAGATCTTAGGGTTAGGGTATCGGCATCCGAGGCAATCTCTCTCTTGCCCTTTCCTCCAGGCAGCTGTGCAGAAACCAGGTGAGCTACTTTTCTATGGGCGAGGGGTCTTGCCTCCCCACCTCCTAGTCGCTACTGCCCAGGGTCTTCCAAGCCACCGAGGAATGGCGGCCTGGCTTAGCTGCTTCCCCTCACGGCAGGATGTCAAGGCAGGCAGCTCAGATTCCAGCTGAGAGAAGTAAGGGGTGCGCAGAAGTGGCCCTTGCTCGCTTCTATTTCTGACCCTCTAAAACTCCTGGAGTGGAGACGGTCCCATTGCAGAGGTTCGTGGTGCTTTGGTCAAGCACACATCTATTTATGTATGAGCTTCTGGTACTGTTGACAATTTTGCATCAAAGTCTGCAACTCGTTCCCCGCCATTGGACAAGAAGGGATCTTGTTCTGTATCTTGAGAGCTGTAAACAGATAATAAAAGACCGGGGGTGACCGCGGTGGGTGGGGTGTCAAAAAGTCAAGATGGTGGCCACAATTGTGTGATCAAAGCCCAGCCCATTTTTTATATGCATCGCAACTTACACAAGAAAAAGGTGGGGTTGGATCACATGGTCGTGACCACCACCTTGGCTGTTTTGACCTCTTCCTTGCAGACACCCCTGAGGTTGACAGTAGAAGGTCATTGGAAAGGCTTCCCTCCTTTCTACACGACCCTGGTGGCTGTGGGTCTTGCATCACTGGGGCTGGGAACATGGAGAGCTGGAGGCTGTTGCACCCAGAGGACGTTTGGTCGGAAAAGGCTGATTGAACACATGACCCAGTCCCAGAACACAAGCAGAGCATAACAAAAACATCACAGCTGACAGACATGCTTCTCTGGTCTTTGCCAACCTGGTGCCTGCAGTGTATTGGGGTTGCAGCTCCCCAAATTCTCCAGCCAGGGAATCAGGGAGGGGGCAGGAAATTTCTCTGTGGGAAAAATCAGCAGTGGCTGCTGCCAAGAGGGAAAGCAAAGAGTGAATGGTGAATGGCATTTGCAGCAACGCAGTGCTCTTGCGTGGCTGGCATTAAGTGGGCACACGTGAAACGCTCAGGTTATTTCTGTTTTTAGTTTTATTGCTTTATGATTGTATTTATTGTTTTATTGACTGTTAGCCACCCAGAGTTGGTTTTAAGATGAGCGGCTATCCAAATGCTTCAGATAAATAAATCAATGTTAAAAGGAAGGAGGAAGGCTCCCTGTGCCTGTACCTATCTGCCCCACATCTTGCATCTCTACTCAGGCTGACTGGGGGAAGTTGGGGCAGAATTGATCTCTCACCAATGACCTGGAGGCTAGATGGGAATTTAATATAACAGGAGGAAGAAGAGGAAGAGGAGGAGGAAGGAGGAGGAGAGGTTGTCACCTCATTGTTCCTAATGTTAGAGCCCTATCAGTAATGAGAATATTAGTCACGAGGAAGAAGTGAAGAGTGAAGAGTGCTAGAATAGCGTCTCTCTACATAATAGGTTTTTTGCTCTTCATTACCCTCAAGTCTTCATGGAAAAAAGGGCTCCCCTTGTTATGAACGCTCAGAAAAGTAATGGTTCTCTCCAAGTTTGCTCAGCTCCTGGTGACTTCACAGACCCATTTGAGCAGCTTCCTTGGCAACCATATAGCAATGGTTTTCTCCAGCTGCCTTTCGGGATGCTTGTTTTCAATTTCCCAGCCTTGCCTACAGCCTGGGGATTTCCTGGTGGTCCCCCATCAAAGTACTAATCAGGTCAACCCTGGTGAGACTTTTGAGATCTGCTAAGATCGGCTGGGAGCTGTGCCTCTCTGGATGCCACCACAGGGTTGAATTTTTCCAGCCTCGCTTTGAATTCCTTCTCAAACTCTCCCCTCTATCCGGTCCCTCAAGATTTTCCCCAGCTCAGGGTGGATTGTCTTCAGGATATTGTAATGTTTTTGGTTCTCGGGTAGGTGTTGCAAAGCCATTCCTCCCTTACGGTCAGAGAAACCTAAGAGAAGCCTTCAGTTACTCTTTCTCAATAGTCATATGTTAGATTTTCACCCATCTTTCCACCAGAGAAAATATCGCTCAGGGGATGCTCAGGGAAGTGCAAGCCAGCCATTCTTTCAAATGGACTTAATACAATTTCACAATTATAAACAGGTCTCATAGCAGAGAACCATTATTCAAAGCCAAGGCGACTATCGGGAAAGTCAAAAAAGTCAAGATGGCGGCCGTGAAGGTGCGATCGAAGCCTTGATCCTTTTTTAGTGCTGCCCTCTTGGCCACCCCGGTGGATCACACTCACCAAGGGCTCAGTGGTGGCTTCCTGCCTTTGCCTTATTGGATCCCAATCCTAAGAAACTCTGTCTCGGTCAAGGCCAACGCTGTGGATGCCAACTAAGCAATATATAAAAGGGAGCCGAAGCTGCAGACTGCAAGGGCTGCCTCAGTGTTGCTCTTGAAGGCGGAGAAAATGGGCAGCCATTGCAATTTCAATGGCTTAATGTCTGTTCTCTCACCTAGAACCGGCAGCCGCAACGTCGAAGCAAGTCCTGTCCGCAGCCTGCTCTCCTGTTAATGCCCCTGATTTAAGATTACATTCAGTCAGTTGGATCTGGCCCAAATTTAGATTGGATTAGGGAACTCGCTGCAGCAGCCTTTGTCACGCCATGCCCCCGAACTATAATTTAAGTACAAAGTACAGTAAACGAAGCTGCAAAGAAAAAGGAAATGGGACTGTGTACAGAG